TTTTATAGATTGAAATAGTTTCCTGAGGAACCAGTACTAAAATGGATTGTGAGAGTAACTAATTAAGGGACAGCATCTTTGATTTTATGTTTTTTGTTTTGCTCCTGCCTCAGTCTCCCAAGTAGCTGGGATTACAGGCATGCACCACCACGCCCAGCTAATTTTTTGTATCTTTAGTAGAGATAGGGTTTCCCCATGTTGGCCAGGCTGGTCTTGAACTCCTGACCTTGTGATCTGCCTGCCTTGGCCTCCCAAAGTGCTGGGATTAGAGGCGTGCGCCACAGCGCCTGGCCACTTCTTCTTAACTGTAAATTCTGCTGGTTGGGGGCCCTTTGTTCCAAGGAAGGAGAGGTTCCACCAGAAGTAAATATTATTTCCATTTAATTGGAGGGTGATACAGCTACTTGTTCATCTGGGGATCCTTGTGTCACTTAAGCAAAAAGGGATTGGTTTTGTGCTTTGGATGAGTTAAGCTTAGTTGCTGCCATGGAATGGGAAGCACAGAGAGCTATGTCTGAAACAAGGGGATTGCTGGGGGATGTTTTGGTAAGTTCATGTTCAGAAATAAAACTAGCAACTCATCGAAGGGAGGACTTCTAAGAATCAGAAGTTTAGGTTTTGATATCTGGGGACATCCTCCAGGTTAAAAAACAAACAAAACCAAAACGCTACCCAGCTGAAGATCTGGCAGAGGCAGAGGAATGGGATGGTGCGGGGAGAGGGGAAGAGAATGAAAATTAAATCAGTTTTCAACCTAAGACCAGTTAAGAAAACAAGAAATCTCAATATTATAGATATCTTCCTTGTTTACATGTAAGAAATTGACTATAGAAATCAACAATGGCCAAGCCAAATATAAAACAGAACTCTAACCCACTCCTGCACTGACCAGCTCAGGAAGCCAACTTATTATCTACACTAACCAGATGAGGAAATATCTCCCTCTCAAGAGTTTTAAGAGGACAGATTTCTCCCAGGTCTAAAATTCTGCCTTCTTTTGTAGTGCATTACCTGACATCATTGGTTCTGGGGGTACCAGAGATTACTTTGTCCTGGGAAAGAACTTGACCTTGGTGTGTATGATGGCTGTCACAAGCAAGAGCTGCAGTGTCAGAGGCAGCTGGTGGCAGTTGTTTACAGGAACCTACTCATTTCTTGCATGTTTAGATATAAAAGGCATGGTCTAAACACTTAGAAAAATGTCTTTACATCAACGTGCTCTATCCAAGTATTGTGCAGCCCAGCGCCATGATGTTTACTATGTGTTTTTGGTGAAGAAGCTTATATTTAAAAAATGAAGATGTGGTTTTTGCTAAAGAAAAAGTAATTCTGGGCCGGGCGCAGTGGCTCAAGCCTGTAATCCCAGCACTTTGGGAGGCAGAGGCAGGCAGATCACCTGAGGTCAGGAGTTCGAGACGAGCCTGGCCAACTTGGTGAAACCCCCGTCTCTCCTAAACAAACAAACAAACAAACAAACAAACAAACAAAAAAAACGGCCGGGCGCGGTGGCTCAAGCCTGTAATCCCAGCACTTTAAGAGGCCGAGATGGCCGGATCACGAGGTCAGGAGATCGAGACCATCCTGGCTAACCCGGTGAAACCCCGTCTCTACTAAAAAATACAAAAAACTAGCCAGGCGAGGTGGCGGCGCCTGTAGTCCCAGCTACTCGGGAGGCTGAGGCAGGAGAATGGTGTAAACCCGGGAGGCGGAGCTTGCAGTGAGCTGAGATCATGCCACTGCACTCCAGCGTGGGCGACAGAGTGAGACTCCATCTCAAAAAAAAAAAAAAAACCCACAAAACTTAGTCGGGTGTGGTAGTAGGTGCCTTAATCCCAGTTACTTGGGAGGCAGAGGCAGGAGAATTGTTTGAACCCTGAGGCAGAGGTTACAGTGAGCCTAGATCAAGCCATCTTTGCACTCAATCCTGGGAGACAAGAGTGAGACTTCTCTAAAAAAAAAACCCAAAAAAGCCAAAAAAACACAAAGTGATTATTTCAGGTTTAGGGGTTATGTAAAGGTCATTTCAAAATGAAAGGAAAATAATGTAGACAAAAGTAAATAGATCTCGGACTGGGCATAGTGGCTCAAGCCTATAATTTTCAGAACTTTGGGAGGCCGAGGTGGGTGAACCACTTGAGGCCAGTAGTTTGAGACCAGCCTGGCCAACGTGGAGAAACCCCATCTCTACTTATAGAAAACTTAGCGGGGCGTGGTGGTGTGTGCCTGTAATCCCAGCTACATGGGGGCTGCGGTAGGAGAATCACTTGAACCTGGGAGGTGGAGGTTGCAGTGAGCCAAGATCACACCACTCAAAAAAAGAAAAGTAGAAGTTCACTTTCTATTTTGAACACAATTTTCATATATTAATAAGAGATAATAAAGTTTTTTGTTTAACTTTTGAATAATCCTCTATTTAAAAATGGGTGGAGGATGAAAAACCTTTGATTCCTCGGTGGCCAAATGGCCATGCATGGTGTGGAGCTGTGGCTGTCTGTGCTCAGTTACTAAAGGTAAAAGTTACCATGAAATTTAGAGGTGGATCCAACTCCCAGGGAGTTGGCACACTGGATGCATAAGAAAATGCAAACTAATAGGCAAAAAGCAAAATATTCAATCTCTGGTTCACTGGATGCATAAGAAAATGCGAGCTAATAAGCCAAAAGCAAATTATTCAATCCTTTGTTATCTATAATAGCTAAAAAAAAAAAAAAAAAAATAGAGAGTGCTGGGTCCAGACTTGATGCTAGATCAAGCTTAGATTTCTGTCCATCTGAATGAAAGCCACCAGCCAGCCTAAAAGCCACCCCCAAGGCCGAATCAACGTTTTAGACAACAGGAAGAGATGCCTCTGACGACCGTATGCGGCTACCAAGAATGAGGTAGTCGATGTTGGCGAAGAGCAAAACCAAAGTAGACTTATTCAAACCAGAGAGTATAATGTGAAAGAAACTGCTTTCGACTTTTGTAAGTAGATGAAATTAGGTTTCCTTGAGCTGAACCAGCTAGCTAATGGATTGTGAGAGTAACTAATTAGAGACAGCATCTTTGATTTTAGTTTTTTTTTTTTTTTTGAGGACGGAGTCGCGCTCTTGATCCGCCCAGGCCCTGGAGCTGCAGCTGGCCGGAGTCATCAGCCGCACTGCAAGCCTCTGCCTCCCGGTTCCGCCATGGTCTCACGCCTCAGCCTCCCGAGTAGCTGGGACCTACAGGGCGCCCGCCCACCGGTCACCCAGCGTTATTCTTTTGTATCTTTTTATTTAGGGCCAGACGGCTTTCAGGCTGGTGTTTAACCAGATGCGTCTCGATCTTCCTGACCTCGTGATCCGCCAGTCATCGACCTCCCAACAGCTGCTGGGGAAGCAGGCTGCGCCACCGCGCGCCCGCTGATTTTATGCTATTTATTTAATTTTAGTTGTTGAGGATGCAGTCGGGTCGCTCTGGTTGCCCCAGGCGCTGAGCGCAGTGCCACAATCTCGCTCACGCTGCCCAAGCTCGGCCTCCCGGGGGCTTCACGCCATTCTCCTGCCTCAGCAGCTGTCCCGAGCCTAGCTGGCGGAGCCTACAGGCCCGCCCGGCCACGCACGCGCCGGCTTAATTTTTGTATTTTAGTTAGAGACAGCGTGTTTCACTGTGTTAGCAGGATTGTCTCGATCTCTTTGAGCCTCGTGATCCTGCGCCGCCTCGACCTCCCCAAGTGCTGGGTTAGCAGGCCTGTGAGCCACCGCCACCTGACTTGCCCCATTCGTTGGTCTGTAAATGCTGCTTGAAGTGTGGGTGAAGAAGCGAATGATGTTGGGTGTGAATAATAGATGCGAGATACGTTGAAACCAACGTTTTTGCAGGAGAGCTATGACAGTAGATGGGCTCTAGAAAGTGTGCTCTTAACGCGAGTTGTGTCCGGGGTGGGTGGTGTTCTTGCGCTTCTAACTCCGTGCGTCATCAGCCTCAATTCTTTATTTGTGTATGTGTGTGTTTCTGATTTTGTGAGCGTCTGTGTGCGGTGGGTGATTGAAGCGAGAGTTGTTCACGCTCAGCCGATCTCGTGCGTCGCTCAGCGAGGTCGAGTGTCTCTGTCCTCGGAGAGTGCCGCCCCCTGGCTGTTTGATGTGGCTCTATGACGTGAAACACAGAACCTGGCTTACTCTAGAAAAATTAGATGCCCAGAACTTTGACAGAATAGAATTTTAGTTCAAACGAGGGTGAGCAACCCAAGATAAATTTCCCCAAACCCATGTTAACAGCGGATCCTCAACGCCCCAAAGCCCACAGACTGCTACCAGCCCGTGCCTGTCCGAGGGCAATTACGCCGCCCACAGTGCCGCACAGCAGGGAGCGAGCATTTCCTGCCTGGATCTCCAGCCGTCCTGATCAGCCGCCGGCAGTAGACATAGCGAGCGCCAACACCGCTATTCTGAACTCGCATCGCGAGGCGACCTAGGTGGTGGGTCCTGTATGCTGGGAATCTAACTAAGGCTAATGCCTGATGGAGTCTTATGGGTGGAAAGAGTGTTCATTCCAACCGCATTCCACGGAAAAATGAGCCTCCCAGTGAAACCAGTTCCTGCCTGCCAAATAAAACGTTTGGGACTGGCGGCCAGTGCCGTAAGATCATTTAGAATTTGTCATAAGTTTTCAAAATGACACAACCCCTGCAGCGTTCTAGTGCTTTTGCACGTAAGCGTATGTCTTATCTGTTGCCTGAGAACCCATTAAGAGAATGGTCAGCGATGCACACCATGAAGCAGTACGACACCTGGAAAGCAGCAGCTGAGAGCACAGTCGTTGGGACTGGAGTGGGCCTGGGGAGGGCAGGCGTCCACAGGGCAAACTGCCTGTGTATTTTGGGACCTTACTGAAGATCCTGTGTAAAGAGTATTTCGTTGCCGGCGCCGGGGTGGCCTCAACCTGCTAATCCCAGCCGAGTTTTGGGAGGGGCCGTTGTTGTGAGACGGTCGCGGACCGTGCAGGAGATCGGAGACCATCGGCTGTTAATCATGTTGGAAGACCCCGTCTTCTTACTAGAAAAATAGCAAAAAACTAGCCGGGCGAGGTGCGGCGTGACGCAGCTGTTTAGCTCCCAGCTACTGTCGCGGAGGGGGGGCGGCGCGGAGCCTGAGGCAGCGAGAATGCCGTTGTTTTTTTTTTTTTTTTGAACCGGGGAGCGAGCTTGCAGTGAGCTGAGATCCGGCCGAACTGCACTCCAGCCTGGGGGTGACACGAGGAGACTCGTCGCTCAAAAAAATAAAAAATAAGAAGAAATAAAATGTATTCTTACCATGAGGTATTCTCACACAAGATTATATGCCACTAAATGTTTACATAGATTGGGGTAGAAACGGATCCAAGGGCTACAGAATGCAATTGGTATTTTGCAAAGATTTCTGTTTTATATCAAAGATGACAAGCTATTTCCTGGTTGTAAACATTGGGAAAAATTAACAAAATGAAAAGGTTCACAGGATAGAACATACAAACAAGGGGTATTTACAGAATATCTGCATTGTAATAAAAATGGGATAGGGCAGTTCTCAAAATGTAGTCCCTGCATCAGCAACAACAAAATCACCTAGAAACTTGTTAGAAATGTTGCCTTCTATGGATTAGAATGAGGACAAATCACAACTTTTGTGAAATGCTAGGAATGTAAAACGGTACAAGTTTTATGGAAAAGTTTCTCAGTTCGTCAGAGAATTAAAGTTAGAATTACCACAGGATCCAGCGGTTCCACTTTTTTGGGTATACCCATTAAGAACTGAAAGCAGGGACTCGAAGAGATATTTGTGCCCTTATGCTTGTAGGGACAACATTCACAATAGCCAGAGGTAGAAGTAACCCAAGTGTCCATGAATAGATGTCATAAATAAAGGAAATGTGGCAAATGGCAACAATGAAATATTGCTCAGCCTTAAAATTTCTGACACATGCTAAAACATGGCTGAAATTTGAGGATATTATCCTAAGTGAAAAAAAAAAAAAAAAAATGAAAAACACTCTAAGATTCTTCTTCTGTAAAGTACCAAGAATAGTCAGATTCATAATGACTTTAGCATGGTGGTCGCCAAGGACTGAAGAAATGTGGGAATGAGTTGTTATTTAATGGTTATAGAGTTTCATTTTACAAGATAAAGAGTTCAGGATATTATTTGCACAACAATGTGAATGTACTTCAAGTATTAAACAGGACATTACAACAGTTAAGATGGCAAATTTGATGTGGCATGTACTTTACCATTGTTTTTTAAAAAACACGATACTAGTTCTCACTGCTACATCAGAGATTTCTGGGAGTTGTTCATTATCTTGGCTACATTCAAGGCACATATGTGGCCTTTCTCCAGTGTGAACTACCGGTGTCTAAGTAGTGCGAAGTAGCAGCAAAATAACGTCACACATTTGCCGTACTCAGAAGACTTTCGCTAGTGTGGATATTCTGAAGCCCAGTAAGTACAATCTTGCATGTTGAATCTTTACCACTTCCTACTTTATTGAAAAGACTCTTCTTCAGTGTAAACTCTCCTATGTCTAATGAGAGTCAAACCAAAATAATGTCCCAAGTTTGCTGAACACACATTTCTGCAGTGTGAATTATCTGATACGTAGCGATTGGAGAACTGTACCTACATAATTACCCACATTCATGGCACTCAGTCCTTCTCCAGTGTGTACTGCCTGCTGTCCAGCCACAATATGTTGGCGACTGAAGGCTTTCCCACATCCACTGCATTCATAAGGGCCTTATCCAGTGTGGACTTTCTGATGTCTGAGAAGTGTGGAGTTATACCTAAAGAATTTCCCACATTCACTGCACTGCTTTGCTGCAGCGTGAACTGTCTGATGACAAATGAGGTGGGACTTTGTAAGGAAGGCCTTCCCACATTCACCGCATTCATAAGGCCGTTCTCCAGTGTGAACTCTTTGGTGCTGAATGAGGACAGATTTCAAGCTAAAGAATTTCCCACATTCGTTGCACTCATAAGGCCTTTCTCCAGTGTGAACTCTCTGATGTCTACTGAGTGTAGACCTCTCCATAAAGAACTTCCCACATTCACTGCAACCATAAGACCTTTTTCCTGTATGAATTCTGTAATGCCTAAAGAGGTTTGAGTTGCACTTAAAGAACTTCCCACATTCACTGCAACCATAAGGCCTCTTTCCAGTGTGAACCCTCTGATGTGTAATGAGTGTGGAACTCCACATAAACAATTTCCCACATTCGCTGCACTCATAAGGCCTTTCTCCAGAGTGGATTGTCTGGTGACGAACAAGGTGAGACTTACAAAGAAAGGCCTTCCCACATTCATTGCACTCATGAGGCCTTTCTCCAGTGTGAGTTCTCTGATGTCTATTGAGTGTGGACCTTTCCATAAACAATATCCCACATTTGCTGCACTTATAAGGTCTTTCTCCAGTGTGGATTTTCTGATGGTCAGCAAGTTTATGTCTGTGGCTAAAGGCTTTCCCACATTCACTGCACAAGAAGGTCTTCCCTGCCATGTGAACGCTGTGGTTCTTCACAAATGTCGGTCTTCCTCCATCCCCTCTGGAAAGTCTCTCTCTAATCTGCTCCTTTCGGTGCTGGTGAAGATGTGCTGGACACGGGTACAGTCCCTGTTCGGGGTGTGTTCCGTCATGCTCAGCCAGACGCAGAATGTCCTTCAGAAGTGAGCTACATGTCTCACAGGGTTGCGTCTTCTGGGTAGATAGACAGGGCTTTGGAGCCATGACCTGTGACACTCCTACGGAAACACCTGGCTCTAAAGGTGCCTCCTCATCCTCAGCTCCATGGCAACAACCTGTAAGAATAAAAATGCTGGTGAGGTGCATGTTGACTGTGATGAGCAGAGGCAACCCCATCACAAATGTCAGTGAGACACCCCATGAAAATGATCATGGAATTGGTGACGGGCATGAACCCTGGTACTGTGGCAGGCCAGGTCTCCCTAACAGCTGAGCAGGCAGGCTTCCATGACAACGGTTTCAGCACTGACTGGTGAAGTTGATTAAAGGCTGACAGTGCCAGTGCTCTCATGCACAGGCTGGAGTGTAACAAAAGTCCACCAAGAGTTTTGCCTAGGCCTTTCCTGGGCCTTGAAGGACGACAAGATCACGAAGGAATTCTTAACAGGACCCGTTTAGGATTAAATACGTTTTAAATATGTTTTATTGGAGGTCTGAAGAAACCCCCCAGGCCTCCGTGAGTAAGTTTATTGGGGTTCTAAAGAAACTCCCCAAAACTCCATGATTTAGAAGGAGACAAGGGTAATCACTCCAGCACCTGGACCCATTTAGCTGAAGTAAATTTACTGAGGCTCCAGAGGAAGGTCTTCAAGACTCAGATCTTGGTTATAGAGAAGTTAATCACTTACATCTTTGGAAGAATGCACACTTACATGTAGACAAATAGCTTAGAAGGTATATAAGCTCTGGAAAACTTTGTACTTTTGAGTTGGTCTGGCAATAATTTCCAGGCCTTCTCCCTGTAACCGGTTACAGAAATAAAAACTCTATTTTCCCAGTTCATCTGCATCTCATTATTGGGCTGCGAGAATAAGCAGCCCCACCCTTGGTTTGGTGTGGGAACAATACGGTTAGGCGTTGTGTCCCCACCCAGATCTCATCTTGAATTGTAATCTCCATAACCCCCACGTGTCAAGGGTGGGACCAGGTGAAACTAACTGGATCATGAGGACGGTTCCCCCAGGCTGTTCTCATGATCGTGAGTTCTCCTGAGATGTGATGGATTTTATTTATTTATTTTGAGACTGTGTCTTGCTCTGCCGCCCAGGTTGGAGTGCAGTGGCACGATCTCTGCTAACTGCAACCTCTACCTCCTGGATTCCAGTGATTCTCCTGCCTCAGCTTCCTCAGTAGCTGGGATTACAGGCATGTGCCACCACACCCAGCTAATTATTGTATTTTTAGTAGAGATGGGGTTTCACCATGTTTGCCAGGCTGGTCTCGAACTCCTGACCTCAGGTGATCCGCCCTCCTTGGCCTCCCAAAGTGCTGGGATTACAGACGTGTGCCACAGTGCCCGGACGATCTAATGGTTTTATAAGCATCTTGCATTTTCCCTGCTTGCACTCACTCCGTCCTTCCGTCCTGTGAAGAAGGTGCCTGCTTCTCCTTCGCCTTCTACCATGATGGTAAATCTCCTGAGACCTCCCAACCATGCAGAACTGTGAGTCAATTCAACCTCTTTCCTTTATAAATTACCCAAGCTCAGGTATTTCTTTTCTTTTTTTTTT